TGGCCTGATGACCCTGGCTTCCCTTGTGGACTTGATGACCCTGGCTTCCCTTGCTGGCTCGATGACCCTGGTCTCCCTTGCTGGCTCGATGACCCTGGCTTCCCTGGCTGGCTCGATGACCCTGGCTTCCCTGGCTGGCCTGATGACCCTGGCTTCCCTTGCTGGCTCGATGACCCTGGATTCCCTTGCAGGCTCAATGATTCTGGCTTTCCTTGCTGACTAGTAGAACCTGGTTTTTCTTGTTGGTTTGATAATCCCAGCTCCTTTGGCTGATTTGACAGCCCTGTGGGTCCTTGCTGGATTGTTGACCCTGGCATTCCTTGCTGGCTAAATGACCCTGGCTTTCCTTGCTGGCTAGGAAACCCTGGTCTCCCCAGCTGACTAGAAGATCTGGGTTTTTCTCTCAGATTCAATAGCACTTGCTTTCTTTGTGGGTTACTACCCCCTTGTTGGTTAGAGTCCTTCTGCCCTCCTTGATAGTTAGCTTCATTTTTTTTTACCAGAATAAGTGAAGGGCCTGGGCTCTCTTCTGGTTTGAAAAGGCTTGCTTTCTGAATCTGGGTTGAAGACACTGGAATGATATCACAAGCACAAACAAAATAATTCAACATTAGCAGTGAAAGATAAATAACCTCCACACCAATCATACTATCACTTTGACAGTTTCATCGACTTCAGGATCTTCCCCTATCTGTCCCCTAATTCCATATGCTGAACAGTTTGCTTTCTCCATTCTTTTCTTGACTATAGTGAATGCTTTCCAGAATCACGAGGTAACCGCAACTAGAACCATAGCTGATAGAATCGGACTTATTTGAACTAGGTCTATCTAATGTTGACAAATGCATTTATTTCCTGATAAATTAGGCACACTAAGCTCATTGCCTTTCTAAACTTTCTCTAAATGACAGAATCAATTTTGACTTTACAAAGAGTACCTTAAAGATGATGCCCTCACCTGTGCAGACATAAAGGCTACTAGGCATGTGCTCTGGGCCAGTCCCCCACCCCCGCCCCATCCTGCTATATGCTTTCGGTAGCAACCCTCTTTTCTTTTCCTGGTTCCAAAGACAGAGGTTTCCCTTTTCTGCAGACACACTTCTTTTTTAATTGGTTGTATTTCCCTTATTTCCAAAAAAATAGCACTGGAATCAGACATGCCCTCTCTAATGGTTATTGTGTTACTTTTAGGATGGAATATCTCCAGAGAATGGTAGATATTTCAGGCTTTTTTTAATGTACTGTTTGATAAATCATCTAATGTATCTGCTACTCAAATTGTATTTAGAGGCCCATCATTCATCAACACGAGTATTTTAGGTTTCTTAAGACTCTATTCTAAAATTACTCATGTCTAGAAATAATGAATAAATAAATTTTATTTTTAAGTAAAAATAATTTTTTTAAATGTGCACTGTTAAATAAAATGATATTTAATTGGGTCTTATGCTTCTTGGCCTTTGTGTGGTAGAAACTCCTCTTTAAGGTTTTTCTTCTGATCTCTTCTTTCCCTTTTAAGATTTGTCTTCTTGTCCTTTACCATTTAAATCTGGAATTTCTGCAGAGTGCTTACTCAGGGCTATTTTTATTCTTGACTTGCTTCCTTGGGAATATATATTCCAAATGTACAGCATTATACATTCTCAATGATATATACAATGTGTATATACATATACATACTGTGTAGCTATATAATGTGTACATATACATATAATGTGTCATATACACACACACATATATACACACATTGAGAATATATATATTCTAATTTTATTTCCTGCAGCATATATATGTATAATGTATATATATATACTTCCATATGTATTATTTTTTCTTTTGATTTTCTTCTTTGGCAATAGATATCTATATAAATGACCCTAGCAGCCCTTGCTGGGTATATATTGATTCCCAATGAAGTAACTGGAAACATGATGAATGGAGACAAGACTGAAGTTGCCATGGGTTTCCTTGTGCTGCATCCATAGCTAACACGCAGAGAAACAGCTGGTGACATACTGCCTTGAGATAATTTGCTTCACAAACTTCTTTGAAGTGTTAATGCATTAAAGCATCACATCGAGAACTAAAATGCACCTGTTCCAAGCAATGGTTTTTTCTATCACCTCATATGCACAAAATTTGGGCATGAATAAGGAAAATAATATAAGAATTCCTTTATTTGAATTAAAGTATTGGCAAAGAATATTGAAAGTACTTCATACTTCCAGAGGAGCACACACATCCATTTCGGAAGAGGTATTTTGTCTCATGTGCTTTGGACCCGTTACCAGGAGAGACCAATCTGGGAAAAGACATCATATCCTGCCTGGTAAAGTAGAGGCGCAGTGGAAAAGAGGAAGACCTTTAAAGAGATGGATTGAGCAATGGCTACAAAAATGGGCTCAACTGTCACAACGGTTGTGAGGATGGCTCAGGACCTGGTTGTGTTTGTTCTGCTGGAAAGAGGGTTGCCATGAGTCGCACTGGCTAAATGGCACTTACAACATTGATTCAATGTTTACACCAAGGATTTTACTTGCTTTATATTTCCATGTGTTTATACTACTTTTAGGAGCCCTGATGGTGTAGTTGTTAGGCATTTTACTGCTAACTACAAGGTCAGCAGTTCAAAACCATCAGCTGATTCTTGAGAGAAAAATGGGGCTTTCTACTCCACAAAGAGTCACGGTCTCAGAGCAGTTCTTTCTGCCTATGTGATTGGGCCACTGTGAGTCAGCATCGATGGCAGTGAGTTTGGATTGGGTTTACGCTACTTTTATTTTTAAGTCAATTTATATATAATATAATATATCATCTATTGCTTTTCATTTAGGCAAGAGTAGAATGATTTTCCAGATACCAACGTTTAGCAGTGAGCAACCTGGTATACTAAATTGTTTTATAGCTTGAGGTGGCAATTATCACTGTCAACAAGTCATTTATTTATTTTAAATTAAAGAGCCTTTATTACCGTACAACTACAGTAAGAGCTATGGTGTTGATGAAGAAGTACATTGTATGTACCATGGGCTGGCTGCAAAACAAATAAATCTGTCTTGGAAAAAGCATAGTCGGAATTCTCTTTGGAAGTAAGGGTGGTAAGAATTCTTCTAACTTAATTTGGACGTGTTGTAAGAAGCGACCAGTCCCTGCTATAGGCAAGTATGCTTTGTGAAATCGTGGATCAGCAAACAAGAGGAAGCCCCTCCATGAGGTGAAATGACACCGTGGCTGCAGCAGGGGCTCTAGCAGAACAGCCGTTGTGAGGATGGTCGGGACCAGGCAGCGTGTGTGTCCTAGCAGACACAGGGCAGCTAGGAGTCGGAGCTGACTTGAGGCTTCGAAGAGCAGCCAAGTTAAAAGAGCAGTGCCTGCAGTTGTCAACCAGACCTCCGTGGCCGCGTCTTCAAGTAACGCTTGAGCGTCTAGCAGCGGCAGGAACAGGCGAGGAGGAAGTCATAATGTGGTCAAGGGGAGAGCCAGCACTTGATGTTGCTACTTTTTTTTTTTTTTTCAGTTCCATGCTGTTTCACTTCCGACAGGGTGCAGTCTTTTCATTCTTTTACTAATGAAAATATTTGACTTTTCCTTTTCTGACAGGTTTCTGCCTAACATAGATTCTACCTTCCCACATTTGACTGTCACCTGAGCAAAACTATAAGGTGAGAAGGAAAGTGGACACTGTTCTGCTAAAAAGGTGGCAGAGCCTGAGGTAGTCTCTCTAATTCTTGGAGAATATGGCATAAAAAACATGCTGTGCAATTGAATCCATGCCATGTGGATTATGTACCAATAAAACTGTTTGAAAACAAAAGGTGGGGGATAGGTTGTCATAAAAAAACCCAGATAAGTAAAAATTAGAAAAGAACAACAGAAAGATGATTGTATGCTTGGGTTGTTTGTATGGGAATTGGAAGTTGTTTATTACAATCCACTCAATTCATATGGAGCTAAAATAAAGCTGACCTAAGATGAAATAAAAAATGGTTGGTTTGCATATTTGTGTTGTTGATAGTTGTATTTTAGTAGAAGAGGTAATACATGACATCAAATTCTAAATGTAAAAAAGGTAAACAAAGCAAAAACAAAATTTCTTTGATCTGAAGTCATGTACTTTTCCTTTTAGATATAACCAAATTTACCAGTTATCCTAGTTCAGAGTTATTCATTCATATACAAATGTAGATGACTGTGTTTTTCAACATTCTTAGTAACATACTTAACTGTTATACTTCTGATTTTTGTTTTTATTTCCTTGACAGTACAGTGAAACTCTTTCTATAGCTGTACATATGAAGAATCTTCATTTTTAACCCCTAAAGGCTGCATATTATACCATTGTGTGAGTTTCCCAGTCTTTTAGAATGTGCCGTTAGTTCATTCCCACCTTTTGCTATTGTAAACAATATTTAAAAATACTTATAATATATAGTTTTTAAATGGATGTACACATGTGTAGGGTAAATATGGGTGGAATTTAGGTATAAACAAAAAACAACTAATATATCATAGCATCATATTTAACCATATTTAACTTTTTCTAAGTTAAAAAGTTTGGGAAATAATTATGTTCATTTTATTTATTTTTCTTCCCTTTCTCAATTTAAAATCTCTGAATATGTATGTAGCACAACATTACATTCTAAACCATCTTTAGATCCTGATTCCGGTTCTTTGCCCTCCAAATCCATGTAAACACTACATTTTGTATAATATATCTCTTTCCTTCCATAAAATATCTGCTGAATATCTCTTTGGGTCACCTAGCCTGGACCATAATGGTTACACTCTTAGCTACACACAAGCCAGTTGGTCTGGTCGCTGGCATAGACTCTGCAATACGGAGATGCTCTGGAGGTTATCTGATTACTCAAGATTTCAGCCTGGAAAAGCTTGTGGAGTAGGTTTACTCTGTTATGTGAAGTCAATATGAGTTAAAAATCGACTTGACATTATCTGACAGCAAACAAGGCACAATAAGTATATAGTAGATACTACTCACCTTTCTGAAGAATATATCTAAAGGAGTTATTATTTGTTTGTTTTAATTTTCTATAAACATATATATGATTTTCTCTTCTACTGACTTCACATGTAATCTATTTCCAATATTGCTATGGTACTGACATTTCTTAACTGGTCATTTAAATCGCCTCTTCATGTAACACACAGTATAACTCTACATCACTTTGAATGACAAGATAACTGCTATTTCTTTTATCCCCACTATATTGCAGATAGAGTGCTAGCTACTTTACTGTCACTATTTCCTGTCAATGTTTGTCCAAGTAAAAGGTCCTTGTTTACATTTATAGATGGGGGGTTGTTTTATTGACTACTGTATTATCTTAATATCTTTCAGTATCATTTATTTTTTCTGAGAAATTTATATATCTCAAGTGAAAGAAATTAGATCTCTGAAAATAGATAGCTTAACTATATTGAGGTGTCTTACATGACACCAAAGTCAATCGGCATAACATAATTCACAAGGACAATGATCTACATCCTATTTTGTAGTGCCTGGGGTCTTAAAAGCATGTGGCCTCCTATATAAAGTGAAGTTAGAGGTCTCTCCATGTCCATAGGATAGAAGAGTGATGAAAATCCAAAGAGACTTGGAAACAATGCCAAATGGACAAATGGGCCAGTCAAGTATCAGTCTCTACCATCTTGAGCTCAGAAAACCTAGATGATGACTAGCTACCAATACCAACTTTTCGGAAAAGGATAATATTAGAAGGTTCTAGATGGAATGGGAGAAAAAAATGTGGAACACAACTCAAAATCATAAGAGAGCAGACTTACTGATTAGATAGAGAGTGGTCAGTCCCCCAAGACTATGGTCCTTAGTTACCATTCAGGTCTGAAACTGAATTCACCTCTGTGTTTGAATAACAAACAATTTAAGATCAAAAGGGCAGCATTAACCCAAAGGCAAAGTTCAGAGGGTTAGGCAAAAAGTAGGAATGTAAATAGGAAGCACAGAGAAGAAATGGGATATGTGATAGTTTATTGAGGATATTGCAATGAATGAGTTGAGACCAAATGTGTATGTATTGTTCAATGTAGAGCTGATGATCTTCCCTGTAAGATGTACCTACTTTACAATAAAAAGTACACATATATATGTACATATACATATATTTATTAAATAAAGCTAATCATGTTGATTAGAATTCAACAAAAAATTCCAGTAGTGCAAGCTAATGCTAATGGAAATCACAATGATCTATAACTACTCAAAAGTATAGTTATTTCTATTTTTGTGACCAATCAAATAAACTCAAGTACGATATATACATTTAAAGTAGAAGAGCCAGAATTTGAACCCATTTCTAATTTTCCAGAAAATTATTGTACACCTCACAAAGCCATTATTTGTTATGGACCATAGACTTGAAATCCTAAGAATCTCACAATTACTTAATATCTCTTTTCAGTTTAATGGTTTCTCTTTCACATTCCCTTATGCTCTTTCTCATCAGCAACATTAAGCCATTTTCTGTTTGAATCCATCCAGGCCATTAGGTCTCTGTGTTACCTGAATTCTTCCATTTCAGCAACTGCTGGAGCTTTCTAGTTTTAAAATTTTCTGCCACAGAACTGTTAAATAACTCAATATTTCTAACAGTGCACTTCAAGATTTCAAAGAAAAGTCACTGAATATAACTTTCTTACCTGAGAACAAGGCCAGGAACACGACGGAAAGGAGACGAAATGCCTCCATGGCAGTCAATGGTCTCACTTGTACTCGTATTGAGTCAATGCTACCTCTTCCGTAGGTATTCTCCAACTAAATCATGGGGATCACCACCATGTTATATATTTGAACATTTCTCCACCCACATTGCCAAACACTATCATTGTCTAAAAAAGAGAAAGAAAGACATTACTACTGATCTTTCACAAACTGGAATGTGTTGCTTCTTGAATGGATTGTCATTTAAAAAATTAGCTTCACGCCCCAACTCCCATAAATAACTAAACTTTAAAGTGCTTCTATCAAATATTTTCACTGGAGGGTAGGCTAAGGTAAAATTCATATGAGAAAGTGGTAAATTCAGAGATCTCACTTTTTCTTTTTTTAAGAGATGACCTGTCTTTTGTCAGTACTCTCATTGACCCTCCAAGTTTATATGCCCACAAACAAAATCCCCAAGGCGTTTTCCCTCAAATAATATATGCCAATAACTTACCCCAAATTATATTTTGAAATCAAATATAAATGCATTGAGTATTGGTCATTAGTAAGTGATGAATGTATCTAATGGGGAGTGATGATGGTAGGTTAAGTATTTTTATAAGGTAACATGAAACAATGCATCTAATGTTTGAGGAATGACATTACACTATATGTTGTATTGCCTCAAGCTATTATTTGAAACAGAAGTTCATGTGAAAATAACCTTGGGAGTTTTAGGTGGCCATAAACTCAATAAAATATCACACAGGAAAATTATGTCCAAGAGTGGCTGACCTATTTAATACAAATGTATACAATGGAGCACAGTCAAAAGAAGATGGGTTGATATTATAAGGTCAGGAAGACTATATAACACAGATAGTTGTTCTGAGTAGGAAATATAAACTTGACAAAACACAGATTAAGGAGAAATATGGTAATTACCTTTATCATTTGAAGGGCAGTGATATCAAAGGGAAAGGGAATATTTAGTCTGGGTAGTTCCATACTACACAACTCGTTCAATATTGAGAAATTAGAGGAAAGTATCAACTTTGGAAGAGAAGTTTGACTGTATAATTTTCATAATCTGTCATTCTGAATTATGTTTTATTTCTATATATCTTATTTAGAAGAAGAACAGTTTTTGAAAATGATAAATATATTCTTAGCCAAGCCAGAAGTTTGACGAATTTTTCTTGCTAGTAAGAAAACAAATTCCTTTACCTTCTTAACTAGTCGTGATTCAAGTACCTATCAAACAAGACCTATGAAGCAAGAGGCATAGATTCTGTCCCTTTTTAACTGCATAATCTCTTCCAAAATTGCCCTATTAAATTATTCAGAAGACAAGCTAAGTAATTGTACAGTAAGACTCCACATACACAACATCAATATTTTTAAATTAATATTTGTTTATTTATTTCACTCCATGTATCTATCAAAATAAATAAATTTGATACAATGTACCTTGTACCAAGATACTCATATGGAGAACTCAGTGCTGTAAATGGTCAAACATCAGCAAAACACCACATAGCTGAATTTTAATTTTGCCTAGATTATTACTTTGAAAGAGTGTTTTCATCTGTCCTCCCCCTCCATTTGTTCTACCACTCACTCACTCACTGCCATCAAGCTGATGCTGTCTCACAGCAACTATATACACAAGGTAGAACTGTAACTCTTTAGGGAAGTAGAAGGGGAATAAAATCCAACCTCATAATTCAACTGCCACTGAATCCTGCCAACTCCTTGTGCCCGTCTGTCTGTGGGTACTTATCCTTCAAACTATTCTAGATGGCCTCTTAACTAATTGCTTTTCCTGCTTCATTTTCCCTATGCAGAACATTTTTTTTCTTTTAGAAATTGAAATTCATACACCTTTAGAGTTGTTTTCCATTTCATATGTTATTGTACTTGGAAGTATGTTCACAATTCCATTTTTATCCTTTGTCATATGAAAAAGTAAGTTCATAATTCTGCCTTGGACCTGTTTGGGGGTACAAAAGTGACTCCAATATCAAATATAATTTGGGAGAATATTTATTAAGTCTTAAAAGAAATAAAGATAACCCCAAAAACAAAGACTCTTCATCTGGATAAGGGAGGCTATTAACATGAGGTCATAATGGCATCCAAGGATTTACAGTCAGGACACTAGTTAAATGAAGAATAAACAAAAGGAACTGTCACGAATTCATGATTGATGACTGATCAATGTATCAGTTACAGACAGGACTACAGAATTGGAAAGAGGGCCATGACGGGGACAAGTACAATATGTTAAATAGATGATTTAAAGATTGATCCAGGGATTCTGGGCTCCCACTTAAGTCTACCCCCAGTCCAAGAACAGTTCATTCTGATAACATGGGCCTGCTCAATACTCACCTTTATGAAATGATCATTGAACATAAGGGTGATACAGCAAAGTGAGATGAAGAAAGAAGACGGTGCTTGACTATCAGTCAGAGTAGTATCTGGGGTCTTAAAAGCTTGTATTCAAACAAGTAGTCATATAATGAGGAGTCAACTAAGTCCACAAGGAAGAAGTACACCAGCCTGTAAGATGACAAGGCGGCAAAGGGGTCAGGTATCAGGCACCAAAGACAAAAAAAAAAAA